AATATAGAGCCAGTTTTCACTGCTTTAATCCACATGTAATATGTAAGAAGCATACAAAATATGGCAATCCCTTCATTATCGTATGAACCAGCAACAGAACGTGAAATGTAACCAGGAACAATGGAAATCATAGCTGAAGCAACTAATCCAGAAGATGTGTCCTGTAAAGTATTCATACATTTAACATCATAAATTCATAAATAATGAATTTTAATTTTTTTAATAAACTAGTAAATGTTTATCATTTAGCATTTAGTTCTGAATCAATGGAAAAACCAAATTTTTTTCATGTGATTTTTGTATTATTGAATACACTCTTGAAAAATGCTATAAATAAAACAACTTACCTTTAATTCTTTGGTAAGCAAATAAGTAACAATTGTGGTTAAACTTGAAAAAAATGGAGCCAGAAAAACACAGACATTTCTGATATCAATTGTTATGTTGAAAAATGACAGTAAATGATAAAGTGATGCAGAAGTAACCATGAGACCAGGATATATGGTGCCTCCTATAATTCTTCCTAGAGGATACCAAGCTCTATCATCAAACCAGTTGTGAAATTTATAGAAACCTTCTTCAGCAAGGAATTTTGTAGTACGATAATTAAAATATGGATCAAATTCATGGATAACGCTCTCAAATCTTAAAACTGAAAACAGTCTTGTAGCAAAAGCTAGAATATATTACAAGAAGACAAATATTAGGAATTAAGATACATTTTTAAATAAGTGATTGATTGAATTCTAAGCAACACATTTAAATATACTTACATAGTACAGCTGAAACTGCCAAGATTGTCATTTTTAATAGAGTTTCTTTTTTTTCAATGGACATGTACAGTCCATTAAATTGTGTTTGTGCAGTCATTATGCAGTTTCAAGTGCTATAATAATTATAAGTAAATACAAATAAGTTTTTCATAATTAAAAAAAATTGTAAGATTTAACTTTTAACATTAAACTTCTTATGCTAACTAATAATAAATAAAATAAAACTAGAGGGAAATAATTCTCATTTTAAAATAAATTTTTCAATAATAAACTATCTTAAAAGATAAGATTAGACATGAAATGCATTTCAAAAGGAAATAATAATATTTAAAAACCAAATACACTTTTAAATTAAAAATTTAAATGTAACTATCCAAATAGTCAATACAACTAACCTTTAAAGCAAGTAAATAAAGAGTAAATTATAACGAAAAAAATATATGTAATCTAAAAATAAAAAGTCAAAAGGAAAAATGTAAACGTGTTTAGTAATTCTTATAACGAATTACCGGTGATTAATATCTGTATAAAGTTAATTATAAATAACATATTTGTTGAAACTGTAACTTAATTTTGAATAAATTTTTGATGCTCAGTTTTTTTTAAAAAGAGATATACACGTATAAATCAAAAAACAAAAAAAAAAAAAAAACAATTGTTTAACCGGCTTTAAAAAAATCTTAGGATCCCCATTGGCAGAGTTCCGACAACTCCTCGCTTTTCCATTAATAATCTAATGACACGACTTTAAACGACTCTAAATTAATCTAAAACTATTTATAAAAACTAATTTGAAATTTTCTCAATCATTTTAATATAATTTTAATTTATCAGAATATCTCTTTTACACTCTCATTGCATTGCTCAAGTTTTTCCAGACAAATTTTGTAAAATATATTAAAGCATACCAAAGCATTAAAGAATTCATTTAAAAATTAATGATACTCATATTAAGGCCTAATAAAATTAGTAAAATGTATTTTAGTAATTGAAGCCAATATTTGAATTACAAGAAAAATATAATTTAAAAAAAATCAAATGGAATTCTTCTACTAAAACCAAATCTGGAAATTCTTCCCACATTTTTTTTCATATTTCTAAAATAAATAATTTATTTTACTTTTGTTATTTGATTTCCAATAAAAGAAAAAAGGTGTGAATTTTTTTGCAATTTAATTGTAAAAAAAGTAAGGAAATAAGTATTGGAAAAAAAAAACAAATTAATAATACTCTTTCTTGTAAATTTAATATTTATTCATATAAATAAAAATACATAATTTATTGTTTACGTTTTAAAAAAAAAATTTGCTTTGACTTTAAAAAAAAAAAAATAATTATAATTGGACACCTTTGAATTTTTTGCTTGTTTTTGATACTTTTTATAAATAATAAAAATAAATTCTAAAAATTAATAATAATGATGATATTAAATATTTAAAAAATTTTTTTTATGGAAGATATTTAATTGAACTTAATTTAATGGACAGAGTTTAAATTTTTAACTTTTTTGTATGAGAAATAAATTTATTATTTTTAGAGGCAAAAAAAAAAATATGAAAAATAATAATTTTAGGTTTGTGTTATTATTTTTTATTTGAAATGCATAATAAGGAAACTATAATTTATTTATTATAATTTATATTATGAATAAAAATTGTTATTATTATTATTGAAAAAAAAATCAAAACAAAAAATAATTTTTTTGCGTACTTAAAATAATTTTTTAGCTTATTCATCAGATTAATTAGATTATTAGGTTAGTTTTGCATTATATAGGAGATTATTGAAAAGGCAAAAAAAAATCAAATATTTCTGACATATCAAAGAAGAATTTCATACGAGTAAGTACTAATATTTAATTTTAAAAAAAAAAATTATAATTTTTTTTTTCTTCTAATTAAATTAATTAATTTAAATTTTTTTAATTTAATTCATTCGCAACAAATAAATTTATTTGAAAAAAAATTCAAAAATTGTTTTTATAAATGAAATTAAAAATGAACGGAAGTTTAAGTAATTTTTTTTTTTTTTTTTTTAAATTTAATATCAATTAATTGATTGAATAATAATTAGTTTAAATAATATTGAAAAAAAAAAGTAAATTTAATTTAATTTCAGGTACAATCATGGATTTTTTCGGGTTTATATTGTTTTTCACCGCAACATTAGCTTTCTCAAATGGTCAAATTGACAACAACATGAAAGCTCTTCAAAATATGGCGCTACCCACTTTATTACCTTTACCTAATTTATCAGCTTTGTCTAAAAATTTTCAATCGCTCTCGGGTTTGATACCGAATCAGCAACAATCAAATTCTAATTATCAATACCAACAGGGAAACGAACCTCCGAAGAGTAAAGAAAAATTACCATGTACCTGTGGAGTGTTTTTAAGCGGACAATTTAAGAAAGGAAGTCCTCAACCTCCGAGTGGTAACGCGGTTTTACTTCAAGAACTTTCTGATACCATGGCATGCGGACCGTTGGGTGAAAAACAATGCATTAATAAATGCTTGGAATCTGTAAGTTAAATAAACATTTTTAAGAACATATAAAAAATTATTAAATTTAAGATATATAATAAGATTTATTGTAAATAGATTGTTCGACACCTTCCAAACAGTGGGCCAATGATTTGTGGCAGTATAGATAGAGATTGCTTTAAAGAGAGAGCTTATTTGTTTGTTAAAAATTGTAACGATGCTTGGGTAAATAGTAATTTGTCAGCAGGACGTGAATATTGCTGTAAGGACGGTCTTCAGTATAAATGTCCAACAGGTTTGATGAATTTAAATCAAGCAAATTAGACAAAATGTGATTTTACTTATTTATTTATTTTTTTTAAATTATTTATTTATTTACAAGATTGTATACAAAATATAATAAAAAAAAATTTATATGTATAAATATTTATTATTAAAATTTTTTAATTAATGATTGTTTTTAATCGTTTCACATATGAACCTCAGATCGTTTATGTTGTCAATAACCTTTCAAATAATTATTCGGATGAAAAACATTTCCTTTTCCAAGTTTTAAAGACTCCTGTTGGAAAGGTATTAACAATTTCGCACTTCCCTCTAAAACAACTTGTTCATTTTTTTTTTGTCCATTAATAACAAAAAATTCTACTTCTATAATTTTCCTGATACTTTTGACTATAACACTTATAATAACCTGAAATTGAATTTATTACTTTTATATCTGCAGGCTTTGACTGTAGAATACCTTATATTTAAAACTTACTTCATCACCGACATAACAAGGCTTGGGAAATCTTAGATTTTGCTGAACAACAACTGTCCCATTTCCTGGTAAAATAGTACCTATAATACCAGATACCAATCCATTTAGAAAAGCTCCATGAACAATACCTTGTTCCGGATCTAAATGAATTGGATTATGATCTTTAGTTAAATCGGCATACAATTTAACATCATCTGATGTAATTTTTCTTCTAACAGAAACTTTGTCTCCAATTTTTAAAGACATGTTTCTAGTTTGCATCCAAAACATTTTAAACATTTTTTATGACTATTTCAACAATATGTAAAATATAAAAAAAAAAAAAAACTATTTTAATTCTTGAACAATTTTATTTATTTGATCTTCAGAACAGAAGTCGGTAAGAAAAATTGTGGCCAAATTTTTAACTCTAACGTTTTTGCTTTTGGATAAGTCGACCATAGACTTCAGAACATCTACATTTGTTATTTCTAAAAAAAAAAAAAAAAAATTCCTGTTTGTTTAAAAAATAAAATATTAAAATTATGAGTTAAAGTAAAATGTAATTAATTTACACTTCAGGTTGCTCAAGTTCTCATTACAAAAAGCATTTTAAAATTAACTGAAATAAAAATTATTAGTTAATAGAAAGGAATAAATATGATTTGATTAGATGTATAGTAAAACAAAAAATAGAAAAATAGAGAAAAAAAAAGCAATAAAATGGAATGTGTAATGAAGAAAAAATGGACGAATAAAATATATAAATTTTGAGGTAATTTTTAACGAATGATAATAAAGAAAGGAAAAAAATTAAAAGAAAAATTTATGTAGGATTATTGTTGCTATTTATTCTAGTATCAAATTCTTTTTCAGATACTAATACTTTCATTAGCATTTTATTGTATTTCAGTTAAAATATGTTCTAATAATTTCTTTATCGTTACAACATTGGCATGCTTATTTTGTGTCAAACCTTTTACTATTCATCATAAGTGTAATTAAATATTAATAATTGATAATTATAAATGTTCAGAATGTAATAAAACAATACTTAAAAAAAAAATACCTGTTTTGGAAGAAGGTGTAATAATGTACATTAGAATACTTATTACAGAAATTATAATTTCATCATGTTTATTGTTTAAAAGTTTTTTCAAATCTGTCAATCCATGTTTAACAATAAAATCTTTATTTAAAGGATCTGTAAAAAGAAAAAAAATTATAATGATAGAGATGATACTTTAATTAATTTTTAGTGAATTTCATTGTAATAATAATAATATTTACCAATACATAAGTTACATAAGCCTGCTGCTGAAAGCTTAACAATAATATCATCTGTATCTGTAAGATTATTTATAAATAAATCTAAAATTTTTAATGAACGAAATAAATCATAATTCCATGGGTCGTAAGCAAAATTAACTAAGTTACTCAAAATTTGCTCTTTGACATCTAAAATCATTAAAATTTTTTTTTTTTAACTTTTATTATCTTAATTTTTGTATCTTTTAAAAAATAACTACATTACATAAATTAAAAAAAAAGCATTCTGTACAAATAAATTTTTTGGTCGTAATATACCTTCTTATAAATAATACTAATTAAATTTTATTGTTTTACACAATGAGAATAATTAAAAAAATTCTTAAATAATGATAAAAAGGTATATTTAAACACTCCGAAAAAAGGCTTAATGTGTATGATTTCTTCATATAATTTTTGTAAGATTGCTTGTAGTAAACGATAAACTTTCAATTGTAAAAAGTACCTTTATGTTTGGAAACCTGAAATTCGGTAACTAACTGTTTTAAATACTGTTGTCTATCATACTTGTGTTCTTTTTTCAATTCATGTAGTTTTTCCTCGGTAGACATGAAATAAACTGAGAAATTAGTATGTTTTTATGTGGGAATATTAAAGCATAACAAAATTTATCATGAACAACATGGTCTACTGCCACGCTTTTTTTTTCAAAATTGGATATTCCAATATGAATAACTTTTGTCATAATATATTATTCTTTTTATTTTAAATTTTTTAAAATGGTGAGTACTTACCTTATTTTCGAAAATTAAAAAAAAATAAATAAATGAATAATTTTTTATGAATAATTAAAACTGTCAAGTGCTACATAGTAATATATCATGTACTATACAGACCGGAGGAGCAGTTGCTGTTGGATTATGTTTAGCTGCTGTTGGCTTTACAGGAAGGTATGTCTTTAGAAAAATACCAAATTTAAAAACAAAAATAAATGAAGCTATGAAATCATTTCCAACAATGGATGTGAATAATAAGTATTACAAAGGTGGTTTTGAGCCTCAAATGACTAAAAGAGAAGCCTGCCTAATATTGGGAATTTCACCCTCAGCTAATAAACTTAAAATTAAGGTGAGAAGAAAATTTTTTTAAAATTAAAATTTGTTGAAATTAGTGATTTGATATTTTATTAACCTTATGAAATTGTTTCCACAGGAAGCTCACAAAAGAATTATGCTATTAAATCATCCCGACAAAGGAGGCTCACCATATTTGGCAGCTAAAATAAATGAAGCCAAAGATTTCATCGAAAATAATAAGTAGCAATGTGATATAAAGTAGTTGTATAACTTAGGTAAAACTAAAAGCTTTATAAGACTGTTTTCATTTTTTAAATAAAAACCTTTCCTTCCGAATAATTTATCTTTTTTATAGGACACAAAAAAAAGGTTTCATTAAATTTTTTAAAACAACTAAATTTAACATTAAACATAACTTGAAAAATCTTTATTTAATAATAATATAGTCTTAAAATAAATTATTCACATATGAATAAGGAAAATAAGACTGAATACAGGTTTATTGAATATTGTGCTTGTGTTATTTTGACCCAAACTTTTCAATTCTTATTTTTCTTCTTAACTTATGAAGAGTAGAATTTGACAGTGATCCTGAAACCTTAAATACACTCTGAAAATTTACAAATTTTTTTTAGTTTAAAAACAAAAAACAAAAATAAAATACTAATAATTTAATTTTAAATATCAAAAAATATCTTACATTCATAAAAAAATGGCAATTTGTAACCATTTTGCTATTGGTAATACTTTTAAAAGTATTAGCTGCTTCGGCAAAATCTTTACTTTCGATTAATTGTTTTCTGTTTAATTTAATTAATGCTATTCCAACACGAAAAAATATTTTAGAACCTTCGTAAAATAAACAGTCCCATATGCGAAGCACAGTCTAAAATTACATTCAGCACATTATTACTTTAAAAAACCTTTTTAATTTTTTTTTTGTCAATAAATAATGACTACTGATAAACCCAAAAATTATATTTTGGAATCATTTTTGAATAACTCACCTCTATGGGTAATATTTCAACAAACAAACATATAAACCATTTTGAACAAATAATTAACCATGGTAAACCCAGATTTGTTATATGTTGATGCACTTCTGGCTCTTTCATTCTAAAAATATATAAAAAATTCTTACAGATAAATTTTGCATAAAATCACACCTATTCTGCAAGGTAAAAAATAACTTTTGAACATATAAAAGTTCTCCTCTATTTTCTTAAACAAGTTTCTCAAAAGGTTTTATTTTTTAGGTTAGTGACATGCATCAATATAGAAAATTCTACTAACTCGAAAGTTTTGCTAAATAATATAAAAGTCGAACCAGTAAAGTTTCTTCGTAAAAGAAGTTGAAAGAAAAAATGAGTACAACATTAAACAAGTTGATGATGATAAAAAAAAAGTTTTAGTGCAAATAGGGGTTATTTGTGATACTTAATAATTATTTTATAGTAAATAAATTATAATTTAATTATGTTTATATTACTTAATTATTTCTGATAATACTTCTACATCAATAAGAAGACCCTGCATTGTAGGTGAATAATAATCTTCTAAAGTTTGTTCTATTAGAGTTTTTAAAAGCCAAAATGTTGTTTCTTCATTCTTGGTGACTAAAAGCAATAACCCTGCTACATAATTTAAACCCTATAAATAAATTTCTTTTATTGTAATTTAATTAGGCATATCAATGTCTTTTATTTAAAATAAAATTGATATAAAACTAGGCATTCAATATTTAATTGAATAATCGTTATGTTTACATAAAATTGACAAACCTGACAATAGCCAATTTTCGGATTGTGATGTGCATATGCTACTAATATGTTAAATAATTGAGTTTGACAAAACTCTGGTCTTTTAAAAAAAATATTATTGGGAAATGTTCTATGAAGATCAAGTTTAATAGCATCTACTATCTCAGTATTCAGATCTTGCTTCAATAAACTATAGTAAAAGTCATCAGACATGTTTTTTTTTAAATTGTGAGCACCACTAATCATAAACCAGACCTAAAAATATTTATTATTAATTTATTACAGCAACAAGGCTACTTTATTTTACTAATAGAGATGTTTTTTAAAATTACTCACAAATCCTCTGTGCTCGGCCGGAATGCCTTTCCTAATATACCTTTTTAATTTTGCATTTTTTTTAAAAACGTAATTAGGATTTAATAATTTAGACCATTTTTTTGATCGGTGTGCTAATATTTTTAAGTAGGAAGACATGAACTCTTCGTAAACTTGATAATTAAAATCTTCAGGTCTTTCAAAGCCATATTCATCCGTGTTACTGAAAAATTAATTTTTTCTTTTAATTTATTTATTTTTTTTCATAATTTTTAATTAGTTTTAATTACTAATAAATTACTGTAGGATTAATGGTAATAATCCATTTCCCTCCAAATTTAAAAAAAAAAACAAATTTCTAAACAATTGAAGATAAATTACTATAGTCATAAAAAAAAAAAAAAACAGTTACCACTAATAAAAAAAAAAAACAAAAATTTAAATTATTATTATTAAAAATTACCTTAAAAACGTTTTACTAGTATTTCTTTTATTCATAACAACAACATAACTGCTGTAATTTAATATTATTTTCTAAATTTAATTCAATGATAAAATAAAAAAAAAAAAAAAAATCTATGAAACTAAATATTTGATTTAGTCACAGCCTTTTAGTAGAACGACTTTTAAAACTAAATTAAAATTACATAAGAACTTTTATTCGCAATTAATATATTTTCCCCTTATTAGATTGCACACCAAATAAAGAAATATATATTTATAAACAAGTTTTATATTTTTAATAAATTTCCTTTTTGTTTTCTGACTAAATAAAATTCTTTACAATGAATTAGAAACTTTAGGTCGAAATGAGATTATAATTCACAAATTTAACTGATGACAAAAAAAAATAATATTAATATTTAAAAATTATATTTATAACAATAATAATACATTTTTTAATTTCATTCAAATATTCAAAAAAAACAATAAATAATTGAATTAACTTAAATTAGAATATAATAAATAAAAAAAATTGATTGATATAGTTAATAATTATTGATTGTTAATATTTTATATTAAACGATGGAGTTCGATTCATATTTATTTGCAAAAAAACAAATTTCACATGGAAATCTAAGTTACCCTGATAATGATTGATAACATTTTTGTACAATTTTGATGATTCTTTTGAATATTTTTAATTAGACCATTTAAATGGTGAACTAAGTATGTCTCTTTTTATTAATTCATCCATTACGTCCGGATATAATTCTGAAGAAGAAAAATCAGTAAAAGGAACAGATAATAATGATGAATTTTCAGAAAATTGTGACGTGTCAAATCTAAAAAAATCAATAAATAATATTGCTTTACATAAAATTTTATGTATGCACATTTAATATAAGAAAAAAATTTTTTTTTAATACCTATTTTCATATTTATCTATTCCATTACTGTCGTCAATATTTTTAAAGTTAATTATGGTGTTTTGAAAAAATGATTTTTTATCTTGTCGCAATTGATTTAATAAATTTGATAATTCTTTTATTTTTTCCGTACATTTTTCAGTTTTTCCTTCGAAATCAAATTTTTTTCTTCCTTTCATACAATTATTAGACGAGTCAATAAAATTTTCATTATTTTCTTCAATTTTTAATGCTTGAAAACTTTCATCTAAAAAAAATGGAAACGCCATGTTTTTAATTTTAAGTACCTCTTTTGCTTTATAAATTTTTATAACGGAGAAACCCAAATAAACAAAGGTACAACCTGATTAAAACATAAATTGGATTTCTATTAGGTAATTATGTACAAAATAGGTACGCGAAAAAAAAGTAAAATTATGATGATTGCCGATGATCCAAAATTTGGTTTTAAAATAGAAAATACCTTCGTCAATATCCGATTCGGAATTCGTGCTTTCAGGTTTTACAAATTTATTTATTTCCGGTGATTTTTCCGGCTCTTTCTCCCCCCTCGTAACTTGTTGAATATCTAAACTTGTTCCGTTGGATACCGAATGATTATCAGACGATATATTTAAACTCGCCACGTGCTCTCGACTCATATTCAGCAACTTTGATATGTAATATTTTAATGTAGGATTAGAATCACATTTGGAAAAAGGTTTAATATTCTCTTTTTGTGATGATGATGAAATATTCCGTGGAAGATTTTTCAAACCTTCATTTTTCTCTTTTAAACATTTATTTGAGCCTCTTGAGCGGAAATTTTCTTTAGAATTTTCTAAAAATAAATTTAAAATGTATATGTGAACACAAAATAAAATTTAGATTAAAAGTAACAAGGAAACATTAATACCTAAGCAATGTAATAAATGATGAAAAGTATTACAATGTATTTCGCTAGGAGGACTTTTATAAGATGTTGACATGCTGTAAGATGATGAATCACTTCTTTGACAAGAAATTTCACTTTCAACTTGTGTTTTGTCTTCTGTTGATGCATCCTGAAAATTTTCCGTTTGCGATTCACGATGGCAAACGCTTTTCTTAGCAATTAAACGATTGATATTATTTGACAAGTCAGACTGAACACAATTGAAATTTTTTTTTCCGTAATATTTATTATCACTATCATTGCTATTGGAATTTGTTTTAGAAGATTGCACCATATTGTGACTGATGGATTCTCTCAACTCTCTACCTTTCTTAAGAATATTATCAACATCAATTAATAATTTATTTTTTAATTTTTTTTTTTTATTTTGTTTTGAAAATACGAGCGTCGTTTTAAATGAACCCTCATATGTTCTTTCTTCTGTTGTATTTGATTGCGAATTTTCCGAAACAAAATGTTTAGTTTCCTTTCTTAAATCATTAGGAGAAATTGCGGGAAATGGTGCATTGTCACCAACGAGGTCCCTGTTGTTTTCTAAAACCTCAGAGAAAGATTCACTTTTTGTTTTTTTCGAATCCATTTTTAAACTTTTAAATTTTTCCCCGTAAAAAATTCCTTCGAATTTAGAATTCATGATACGCTGTTTAATTTTTGCTTTTTCAAATAATCTATCATCGTTCATATACATGGAAGTCTAAAAACAAACAAAAAAAAAAATTTTAATAACAACCAAAAAGTTTTAAAATATTAAAAACAACTCACATTCAAAATTTGACTTTCAGCCTTTATCAACTTTTCTTTTTTACTTAATTCATCAAGTTTTAAAATTAAGTTATTATAACTTCGTTGAGTTTTTTCTTTTTTAAATGCCTCGTTTCCCCTTTTTTCAGAAGCAATCATTGCTTTTTGTCTTTTTTCCAATTCTGATTTTTCTACACCAGTTGTAATTTCTATTATACTATTTTGTTCAATCTGAAAAAAAAAATTTTAACTCGAAATTAATGAGAATTCAAGATGATTAAGTTAGTATAATTAGCAAATTGAATTTAAATTACTTCAGGTTCTTTTTCAATTTTTTCAATCAAGTTAGGTACTTCTCTGTATAATTTCCCAGGGTACCTTGAATGATAATTGTAAAATTCAACTTCTGAATTAGTTTTGCTGGGTAAAACAAAATTTTCATTTGATGTGCTACCTTTTTTTAAATTCTTACTACAAGTTTGAGAAGAGCTGAAAGTGAAAAATATATATTTTTTTATCAACTAATGAAATTGAAAAAAAATCTTTAAATAAGAATCTCGAAGCAATTAATAAGCTTAAAATATATTTTACTCATGCACATCGTTTAAGTTAATCCATATGGTTTCCACTGAGGCTCTTGAAGAATTCTTTTCAGGAAGGTTTTTGTTATTTTTATCCTGATGAGAAACATTTACATTTTTTAAATTTTGTTTCTTTTTTTTTTTCGAGTTTACCTAAAATAAAAAATATGCATTCGTAATAAATATATCTTATATTGCTTATAACCATTTTGCTAAATTCTATTTTTACAAACCTTTTTAATGATTACTTTTGATGAACTTGGGTGAGCTGGTCTAATTTTTTTTTTCACAATAGTTACATGCTTCTCTGTTTTCCTTTTAATGTCGAAGGCAGAAGGTATTTCAGGAATATTACTGAAATAAATTTCACGAAAAAAATCAATACAATTGATTGTATAGTCTATGCATTGACAATAGTGTGTTTCATAATTTGATTCAATAAATGTACCCAATCAAAAAAAATCTTATCACATATAATTACTGTAATTGTTAAATTTTTGAGAACAATAAATAAAATCAAAATTTGTTCATCAGTTACAAAAAAAATAAATATGAAATTATGTAATAAACAAATAATAAATGTCAATGAAGTAATATAACAAATAAATTTGATAATTATACCTCTGTTGTAATAAATGCTTTTTGTTAGAAACGGAGCAAACAAGAGCAGATCTCAAATCCTCAAATTTTCTTGTTCTTTTTTTTGTTTCAATATAAAAATTTTTTTCCCAGTTTTGAGCTTTAATCTTATTATTTTGTTCTAAATTGGCAAGTTTACCCCTTTCCTGAGCTTTCCAGTAATTGATATTACTTTCAACTTTGATGATTTCTTCTGGGCAAGGCTACAAAAAATTTTTTTTTAACAAAAAAAATTAGAGGTTCTAATGATGATTAATTAACATATCTAACTTACTTCTAGCTCAGAAAGTTTATGCCCCAAACCGAATTCCTCTAAAGCATATCTTAATTTTCTTTCCATCTCATCTAATTTTTCTGCTTTCCAGCATTTAAATTTGATATCTTCAATTTTTTCCAATTCTTTAGATTGTATTTTTCCCTCATTTTCAACCTTCTGTCTTAATACCCTAGCAATGTTTTTGCTTTGTTTTCGAACCTGAGCGAGTTAGTAATAAATTTAAGGTTTATCTCGTTATCTAAATAAATTTTTAAATGAATTAGTAATTTATTTTGGCTGTACCTGTTCAATTCTGAGTTTTCTGCGATGTAACCATTCTTCGTTTTTGAAACAGTCAAAATCCGAGAAAACTTTACCCTTGTTCAAACCTATTCCTACCATTTTCTTATTATTAGAGTATTAAAAAAAAAAAAATTATTGGAATAGTTTAAAGCATTATACATAAAAATCGTATTTACTTAACGGTCAAATTTCAAATCATGTTTTAGCACTTCATGTAAAATTGAGCAACTCAAAAGCATTTAAAACTTTAAATGGATTCATATTAAAATATGTATAAATTTGCATAATCAATTTTAATATGAAAATTTTTTTTTAAATTAGTTTTTAATAACTGTAGTTTTAATATTAGTAAGAATTATTATTAACGATAATTTACCCCGAGATCACTTCACATGAACCTACAAAGGTAAAAGACAAAATATTCTAGAGCCACGTTAGTTTCCTCAAATATTTCGAACCTGTTAAAAATTTTGACAGAAGTTAGTTTTTTTAACAGATAACATTTTCCAAAATGTTCCGAAAATTTTAAAGGGAACTTAATCGGAAAAAAAAACGTTGTTTCAGCTTTGAAATGAACGATAATGGCTGTAATCACTTTGGACTGTACATTAAGAAAAATGGATTATCGACTTTCAAATCAATTTATACTTATTTTGTAAAGCCTTCTTCGAAAAAGTTAAATATACAAAAAGCCATTTTCTGCTTATGCTCCGTTTGTAATGAACACTCTCCACGATTGCACGTTTGTCTTAGTTGTATATTTTTCGGATGTTACGATACGGGCCACATCCAAGACCATGCAAAAAATGAAAGCCACCTACTGGCTTTAGATGTAAATCACGGGCATATTTTTTGCTTTGAATGCGGAGATTACATTTACTCTTCCATTGTATTAAAACTGACTGCTACAATTAATCAAAATTGGCTCAAATCTCTGGAAATGCCCTCCATCTATCGATCTTGGGAGCCAAGTATGGCAGAAAGAGATCTTATGATAAAAAATCCTAAGAGAAAAAGAATATTAGAAAATACAACGATAGGTTTAAGAGGTTTAATCAATTTAGGAAATACTTGTTTCATGAACTGTATAGTTCAAGCTCTAATGCATACACCTCTTTTGAGAAATTATTTTTTAGCAGATCATCATGTGTGTCAACTGGCTGATCAACCTGGTAACTGCTTAGTATGTGAATTATCTCGACTGTATCAAGAGTTTTATTCTGGAAAGAAAAATCCGTTAACTTTACATAAACTGTTGCATTTAATTTGGAATCAAGCGAGGCACTTGGCAGGATATGAACAACAGGATGCTCATGAATTTTTCATTGCCACTTTAGATGTTTTACATAGGCATTGCGAAGCAACTCAAAAAAGTTCCAATCCAGCAAAATGCAGTTGTATAATTGATCAAATATTCACAGGAGGCTTGCAAAGTGATGTTGTTTGCCAGTCTTGTAATAATGTTTCAACCACTATCGATCCATTTTGGGATATATCATTAGATTTAGGTCAGTCTGTTGGTCTATCTGGATCTGAACCGAAATCCCTAGTTGATTGTTTGGAAAGATTTACAAGAGCTGAGCATTTGGGATCTACAGCCAAAATAAAATGCAATAATTGTAAAAACTATCAAGAATCAACCAAGCAACTCACAATGAAAAAACTACCTGTTGTTGCAAGTTTTCATCTTAAAAGGTTTGAACATTCTACTAGACTCCATAAAAAAATATCAACTTTTATATCTTTTCCTGAACATTTAGATATGACTCCTTTTATGTCGCATCAAAGAAATCTAGGTGGAAATGGAAATTTAAATAATCCTAGTGCATACATGTACTCTTTGTTTGCTGTGATAAATCATGTTGGTTCTTTAGATGCTGGACATTATACAGCATTTGTGAGACAACAAAAAAATCATTGGTTTAAATGTGATGATCATTTAATAACGAGGGCAAATTTAAATGATGTTTTAACTAGTGAAGGATATCAATTATTTTATCATAAAAAAATTTTAGAATATGAATAAATTTAATTTTATTTAATTTGACTTATTTAATCAATACAAAAAAAAAAAACAAAAAAAACAAAAAAATAGATAAATAATTTTTTTATTTTTATTTTTATTTTTATCAGTAAATAATAGTTTAATTTTTTATATTAATTTATGTATTCAATCAATCAGTTACACTTTTAAACAAATTTTATTGTATTTTAATAATTTAATTATATATTTTTAAGAATGTATAAATAAAAAATAAAAATAAAAATTATAATATTTCTATATTTTTCTTTTTTATTTTTTCCTCAAAAAAAAAAAAAAATCCATAAACATAAAGCATTTAATAAAAAATAGATAAAAGAGGTTTACTGCTTCGTATTTAACTTTTTTCTTCTTTTCGAAAAAAAAAAAAAAAAGAAATTCCCGCCCCCGCCTATAGGAACTCATTGGGATCAAATAAACAGAATTTTATAAAGCTGAATTTTTATTTATTATTTACATATTTGTAATTGTATGTAATAGATACTATTTATTGTTTCTAAATTTAATACTAATTATTAATAATAAACAAATATCACGTAACTATTAATATTATTTATTAAAATTCCATTGTCTTTTCGATAACCGGATGTAATTGCGAATAAGGCGCATTAGGCGACATTTGCTCCCGTTGAAAAAAATTATGATGATGATGGTGATGATTATTATTATTATTATTATTATTATTGTGTCGACGATGGGGGTAAACATTTTCCCTTATATTTCCACTTGCGCATTCTCTGGAACCTTTACAAGCTTTCATTTCGGCAAGTTGATCCGTTAAAAATCTGGATTCGTCAGTTGAAAGAGTCGAGATACGATTTGTTTGCTCAAAGGGATCTTCAATTAAAAAAACAAAAAAATAAAATACAGAAATATATGTATTGTGATAAGATAAATGTGAAATCCTTACCGATTCTTAAATTATAAAAACTTTTGAAACCAGTCGTAAATTCGCAATATAAAAAATTATGAGTGCTATTTATAGTTCTTAAACAAGAATAAGTATTATTATTTGCATTCATACAGAAACAAAATGATCCCTCTGAAACAGAATCATTATCATTATTAGTATCTTTTCTCTTTGTTTTATTAAACCTTAAAAATGTTTTAAGACCACCTGTCCAAAATGGCGGAGTTTTCCAATGATCATTATCGTGTATAAAACAATTCATTCTTTCCGATAAACATTCTTTTTCCAATCTTGCTTTCTTTCTTAATTTCCTCTGTTTTTTTCTCAATCTTTCTTCTTTTAATTTTCTTTTATTTTGTTTTTCCAAATCATTTCCAGAATTTTTCTTCGATCTTAAAAAGTAATATTTAAATTAAATCCAGAACTTTTTTTTTTCCTTTTTTTTTTTTTTAAATAAGAATTAACTTACTGTAATTGATGATTATCCGGTGGACAAATGCAAATATCTTTGACACGATTAACGGCAGAATCTCCCGTGTTTATTTTCTTTTTTGAATTATTATCATTATTTTCATTGTTTATCGTGACGACTTCATTCGAAGGTTTTTTCGAAGATAAAGTCGTTGAACTTGTTGAAATATTTTCATCATCATTTTTAGGAGTCGTCGCTGAGGAGGAGGAGGTCAAAAAATAAATAAAAACATTATTCGTACGCACGCACGCACGCACGCACCCACGCACACGCACACCCATGCGTTCACATGAAATTCATTAAAATACGAGTAATGCATACCCACTATTTCTTTAAAATCTTTTGTTGAAGATGTTGTCGTGGTATTCAATATGGTTTCCACAAACTTATACGATTCTGAAGTTACTTCCGTTACAAAATTATTATTATTATTATTATTATTATGGCTTTCATCCGTTGACGTGGTATCCAGTGTAAAAGGTTGAACTGTTGTTGAATTATATTCAGGACGTTTTTTACGCAAATGCTTTCTAATTTCCTAATTGATAAAAACAAACAATTGATTATAAGTGATAATCCATATTGAAATGTTTTATTTAATTTTCTTACTTTAAGAGTTTCCAATTCCGTTTTTAAATTTTTAATTTTAGCTTCTATTTCGTCTCTGCTTTTCTTCCAAATATTAAAATCCTTATATAACAAACTGCTACAATTTACTTTTCCCTGTGACGTCACCAAACATTTGGACACGTTTTGTTCCTGACCGAAAATATACGTGGCGTTTATGCTATGTTTAGTTTCCTGAAAATAAATTATTAATATTATATTTTATGTTATAATGTTAAAAAAAAATTTGATAAGATTTATCAGTCAAACAATAAAATACAACAATAATGTCGGTTACCTCAGCTTCATACAATTCCAATTCCAAATCGTCGAGTATATCCGATATATGTTCTTTTTGAATGCTTCTTTTCTTTTTCATTACTTTGTTGCTACGATTTACTAATCTGTGTAAAACAGGCCAACTAAAATCATTATTGATTATTTGATCCCATGAATCTATAATATCAATTGATCTTTTCACTCTAAAATCGGAATTGAACATTGTTTTCCGATTATTTTTACTAAAATAAAATAAAATAAGTTGCATTTTGAAGTTTTTTTGTACAGTTAAAAAATCGTTAAAACTTTATTTGTCTCACATGGTAGCTTCTCTCTGATTTTCAAATTTGTTATTTTGCATTTGTTTAATGCCGAATCCGTTGGATGTAAAACAAGCGCATTTTTTTTGAAATTTACATTTGAATTTTCTCCATCTTCCATCTTCAATCACGCAATACCATTTTTGTCCCATTTGACAAGGATTTTGAAATTTTGAATTTTGACATTCCAATGCAAGGCGATCAAATTTGGGTAATAACTGATCGTTTGTTAAAGTCATTTTAGGAATTTTATTATCCTTTTGTGAATCTGTACCTATTAGTAAAAGGTTAAAAAAAATTATTATTATTATTATTATTATATTTTATTTAAATCATCGAAGCTCTTATATAAAATGATGGAAGTAAGATTTTAGAAATTCATATTAATATAAAATGCTGGTCTTTACTTGTTGTTGAAACAATTGTTGATCCTTTAGAATTGTTATGTAGCTTGGATGAAAATGAAAAATTTTCTTCTTCGGATGTTTCCTCAGCGGTTGATTCCAAACTCTCCTTGTCAATTTCTAAAAAAAAAAAAAAAAAAATTACCTGTATTTTTGATTTAAAAAAAAATGTTATTGAACACGTGATTGAATTTCTTAACAAAATTACTCGAAAAATCTTTAGAAATATCTTCTTGCGAATCGGATTCAATATACATTTTTTTTGATAATTGATTTTTTGATTTTTTCAAACCGAACGGATCCGGGATTTCTCTTCTACCAGAACTTTCAATTAAAAAAGTATCAGGCCATTTTATCTTTCGCCTTTTGTTTGTTTTATAATTGAAAAGTCTCGTAATCGATCTGCCATCCATTTCAGGTGGCGGTTCTACCCCGGCTAAATCAAGAAAAGTTGGAGCTAAATCTATGTTGAGTACAATGTCATCGACTCTGTAAAAAAAAAAAACTTGTCACCTTAATGACCTGGCACACGCTCAATTTAAATAATTTAGTACCGGTTAAAGGAAAAAAAGACATAATTTTTATGTAACTCACATGGAACCAGCTTCTACTCCTGGTCCACGAACCAAAAATGGAACTCTTATATCAAATTCGAAAGGAAAAGATTTTCCTTTGACAAGACCAAATTGTCCTAAATGATATCCATGATCAGATGTGTATAATATGTACGTGTTTTCTAATTCTCCAATATTTTTCAATTCCTGATAAATCTACAAAAAAAAAAAACAATTTTTTTGTTGTCAATAAAATAAGCTTTCATTTAATATTTTTATACTACTTATTAGAATTTTCAATATTAAATTACCCTTTCGACAGCAGAGTCAACACTCTGTAGCGTTTGAAGTCTTTTGGTCATTAATGTATCCGTAAATTGCTTATGAATGTCTTGCATTTTATTTGTCACTCGTAAAATCCATTGTTTATCGAGATTTGGAGCAAAATCGTACGATGGAGTGCTACAACAATTATTTTTGTTTTCTGTAAACGGTAGTATAAGTAATAAAAATACTTTTGAAATTTACTCGGTCATTTTTACACATGTTAATGTTTATTTAAGAACTTTTTTTCTTCGCGGGTAAAAGATTCGCGCTTTTTCCTTTTTATTTTTCCATACGTTTACTTTACTTTATCAAAGGTAATTTCAGAAAATGCACTGAAAGAAATTATTGAACGCGTGCGCACGCGCGCGCGCGCCAAAAAAAAACATCTTTTTGTAAACAATCTTTTCATTACTCATTCGATTTCAGTACATTTCAAATTTTATTAAAACATGGCACCAAAAGTGAACGAACGTATGAAAAAGTAACAAAGGAAACAATTTCAAATTTTCGCTCATTTTTTTCGCCCGAAGAAAGAAATTAAGCATTAACCTGAGGTATAATTTACGTTTGTTGAACACGAAACGAAAATATAATTATTTATGCTTACTGATGAGTAGTAACATTGAAAAACATTTTAGAATACTGCGGAGCACTATCTTCTGGTCCGTGTGGAGCTGGAAAACTAACAACGAGCATGACGGGTTTTCGAGAAAAATACTGTTTGGATTGTCGAAGAAACGCAATGGAATCATTGGCAATGAGATCCGGATAATAGTCTTTAGAATAATCGAATCCATGTTTGATTTTTTTCCCATTTAAATTAATTGAATAATTGTAGTAGCGAGAATTCATAATTAGTCCTCCCCATTCACGCCATCCCGGAGGTATGTAACTTCCATTGTATTTATTTAAATATTTTCCAAAGTAACCTTCAATTTAAAAGTAAGTTTCAATCAAGCATAAAAAATAAATTGGAAAAAAAAATTTTTTATTTTTTTTGAATTAACCTGTTCTGTAACCAGCATTTGATAAATAAGTAGCAAAAGTTCTTGTTTCGTGAGTCTGTTGCCAATTAATACTCGAACAATTTTCATTATTGGTGAATACGTTGTGATTATGAACGTACATTCCAGTAAGTAAACTACTTCTCGAAGGGCAGCACATTGGAGTTGTGACGTAAGCATGACGAAATTCAGCACCGCCATCTCTTAAAAGTTTTAAAGTTTTAGGCATGAAATTAAGTGAACCCAATTCGACATCTTGATCATCGGTCAATATAAGAATAATATTCGGTTTTCTTTCTCTTAATGTGGGAAAATTAATAAAACTATTGATTCCATGTTTTTTTATTTTACGTTGACGAGATGATCCTAAATAATGTTCGTTATTTTCAACGTTTGAAGAATGCCTTTGTGATTCGTGATTATTAATGATTCTACAAAAAAATATCATGAACCGTTAAAAAAAAATTTCCTTTTCTAAAAAAAAAAAAAAAAAGAAAGAAAATGTCAACCCTGACCTTTTCACACCTTGTTCTGAATTGTTTAGTAAAGTTTTTGTATTGCTTAAATTGATTATTTCATCTTTTTCCAATGCCTTAAATGTAGTTTTATCCATAAAAGTCTCTCTCGTTGAATTTTTTTCAATATAATCTTTTTCATTTTCGTTATTTCCAAACTCTTTTAAAAACGGTTTTAAATTCGATTCACCTTTATTTTCATTTTTTTTCCTATAATAATAATAATAATAATAATAAAAACAGCGATGAATATAATAAAGCATTTTTCAATTTAATCCAGTTTTTTTTTTTTTATAAAAAGCCACCATATTGGTTTTTTATTGGGGGGGGGGGGAAATATAAAAATAATTTTAACACACCGGAAATTATATTTTTTTTTGAATTTCATATTTCAAATACAAATTTTTGAAGGTTAAAAATAATAATAATAAATTTTTACCCATAAAATTCATCTTTTGAAA